TTCTGTGTGTGCATGTGCGTGGCCAGATGCCAGATCTGCATGGGAGCAGTAAGTGTGCTCCCTTCCCCATGACCACCTCGATGATCAGAGACTGGATCTATAGTGAACCCCGCCAGGCCACCATGTATCTGAAATACCTGATCTCTCCAGGCTCCTGGCCCCTTGCGCCCTGCACATGAGGACCATCAATACGTGATTGTAAATTATATGTGTGCCCAACATGCTGTCAAACCTGTCCTGAACTTCTGGTGGCTGCTCAGGCACACCCAGACCACACGAGAGGTCCACCCAGGGCAGTTGCCCTGAAGAAGCTTGTCAAGCCCAGGTTCACTGAGGCTCTGACTACACAGGGGCCTCTGAGCAGCCTCGGCATCGTACCTCATCATGGCCCGCGAGAGGAGGAGAGGAAGGAGGGAGGCTCTGCTGTGCACTGATACCAGTGGTCTCCCAGGCCATGGGTGGTGGCATCAGAGGCAGTGGAGGTAAAGGGTGGCTCTCCATTGGCATTTGACCCCAGGACTTGATCCCTGTGTGAAAGGGAGCAAATAATGGGGTTTGTGGCAAAGGCTCAGGGAAGGACAGGGCAGGTTGTTCTGGCTGCGTAAACCAAGGAAGGCTTCTGGTAGGAGGTGGTAAGTTCCATCTGCATCTCTGGAGACCAAGTAGGTCAGTGCCAGGGGAGTGACGGGGTCCTGGGCTAGGACCTCGTGAGCCGAGACTGAGGCAGAGAGGGTATGTGCAGCCTGTGGCTTGGTAGGAGAGAGATGGATGTGCCGTGAGAATGAGGGAGCAGACTCTGGGACAATCAGGCCACTGTGAGTGAAGAGCTGGACCATAGTGCAGGGATTTGGGAGCCATGGCAGGTTGTGGAGCAGAGCAGGGACATGGTCAGAACTGACCTGGAGGGTGGGTTCCTGGCCCCATGCTGTCTGAATTTCCTTCTTCTGGTCTTTCTCCCCTCATCTGTTTCTTGTTTCCTCCTCCAGCCCCCTGAAGCCACCAGCAGGAGACAGGGTTGAAGCATGGACCTGTGTTCCCCTCAGCCTGGTCTGGGTCCACCGTTGGCTCAGCCCACAGCACTTCCACTTCTGCTGCTGCTTCTGGGGAGCTGCGAACCTGGGGGTGGCCTGTACCTATCAGGGAGGGTGGTCAGACAGGCCCTGCAAGAGCCAGCACTCCCTGCAAAAGAAAGTGAAGGCTTCGGGGGCCAGCCCAGGATCTGCTATCCATGTGCAGTGTGATCAGAGAAACCACTGCCCCCAGTGGAGTGGAGGCTCTAAGGGGACAGTGTTCTTAAAGCAACTCCCAGTCAGCTTCCTTCTCTGCTCTTCTCCTGGGCCAGGGGCCCTTCAGCCAGAGGCTCTTCTCCATCTCCTAGGAGGGCTCATTCCAACACAGTGGGTAGGGGGCTGGGCCCACCCCAGGAGGTCTGAATCCAGAGGGTGGGAAGGGGCCATGGAGAACTTGAACTTCAGTTCTCAGGTGACGCCAAAGCAGCTCAGACTGGGGCAGGACAGGTGACATGGAGCTCTGTGCTTAGGGAAAACTAACTTACTGGCTGTACATGGGGAGCCTGCATGAGCTCTCAGAGACCGCTGACACCCAGAATATGACCCAGCCTGATTTAGCCAGAGGCCCACAGTAGGCACCTGAGTGTTAAGACTTTGTAAAGCTCCCTGGAGGTCTTTGGGTCACAACCACAGCGACAGCAGTGATATTAAGCACATCCTCACCAGGTGACAAGAACCCCATGAGCACGGCAAAAGCCCTGCCTTATGTAAGTCTGTGTGGTAGCACTAAGGTTATTCAGATGTCCTCTGAGAGGAAACTGAGGTCCAGAGAGGGAAATCACCTGCCCAGGGGCACAGCCCTGAGAGGCAGCCCTAAGTCTTTTGTCCCATTTCACTGTTTTATCCTGGATCACCATGAATTCCACAAGTCCTAGAAGTGAAGCCTTTGAAAGCTCCCCACTCTGACTTCTGACAGGCATGGGACAGCCACGGGCACCTCCACACAGGCCCATGCCACACACCTACATGTGCCTACGCTGTGTGCCAGTTCAGGCCACACCCTTGGCCACGCTTTGTGCACGATAGCCTCTCACATGTGCTAAGCCTTACAGCTCCCCTTGGCGCCTCCCTGGCCTGGTCTGATTTGAACTGTGCCCTTGGCAGAGCAGTGATGCCCCCTGGAAGGCTTTCCCCAGGGAAGCACTCATAATTGGTTTTATCTGAAATGTCCTAAGTGTCCAGAGCTACAGAGCCCCAGTTTGTCCTGGTCAGGGTTCACATCAGCCAAGTCAGGTAGGGTCATCATCAGGCATTTGTTCGAGCAGCTCAGTGACACGGGACTCTGCACATCTGTGTGATAAAGCAGAAGAGTGGTGGCACTCATAAAGCACTAGCAGAGCTCCATTCAGTTCCAGCCTCAAGTGAGGCAGCCCAGGGCCCTTGAGAGAGAGGGAGCGATCTGCCAAGATCACTCAGGAAACCAGCTGATTGTCATCAAGGAAGAGGACGCATTGGTTGTGCCCTCCACCCTCAGGGGCTTTCAATAGAGCCTAGCCTGTTGGCAGGCACCCCACATGTAGGAAGGGAGACCCCTGCCCCTAATTACCAGAACAGTGAGCCACATTTCTAATATCTTTGTCCCCTCATCTCCCTCCTTAACAGTGACTGCTAACCCCGCCCCTGCTCCTTTACCAGCCCCAATACCCCTGCTTTATTTTGAAGCTGCCTTCAAAGCAGCTTATAAAATTTTGTCTCACATAAGAATTAAAATAACCTAAGTGAGGAAATCCAAAGAAAGGAAAGACAAGAGAAACAAGATGAAAATCCCCAGGCACAGTGCATATCACCTAGTCCTCTGGTGCAGCTCCAAGGGGGAACTGCAAATTCAGTGCTGAGCTGCCAGGTGGTCAGGGGGAAAAAGGCAGCACGATGAGTGTACCAGTGCTCCTCTCTGCCAGCCACCGCAGCCCCAACACCCAGGACCATGCCCAGCTTGTGAGTGGGCCCACAGTTACCAGTGCACTGAGTGAACGGCTGCAGCTACACATTTAACAACCTGGGTGCTTGGATGAAGGAGAGTCCTGAGTCCTGAATCCCTGGGGCCTGGCATCTGGGAACAGGATGTGATGGCAGCTAGACAGAAGGGCAGCTCAGCAGAGAGGCTAAGAATGGACACACTGTGTAGAGGGGAGAAAAGGCTCTTCCTGGCTTAGAAGGAGCAAAGGTGCAAGTATGCCAGGACACTTGCTATGGAAAACAAAGCACCCTCAGGGGCACAGGATAACATGGAAAGAGGGGACAGGCACCAGGGGAAGCACGGAGCTCCATGGGGGCCCTGTAGATGAGTGGGCACCAGCAGTCTTCCCCAGAGCTGCCTCTCTGTCATGTACCTGTGTTGCCTATAAGGACTCTGCTTCACCTGGACTTGTCAGTGCACCATACCTTACTGCAAGTGAGTTTAGGGGACACACACAGACAGGCCAGTGGGGACCATGGGGATAGCAGTGGAGGGCAGCCCATGAGCAGATGGTGGCAGAAGGAAGTAGGTGCCAACTGGGACTCTCCTGGTTTGGCTGGGACAAGGCCAAACAATGAAAGACGAGGCTACAATCATAGATTGGAAGTCAGATCCCGAGGCTGGAGTGGCAGGTTGAGATTCTGAGATAATGAAGCACTTCCAGGGCCAAGGAGCAGGGGAGGGTGGAGGAGCTGCTGGAAATGGAGGAATAGAGGTGGCAGTGGGGCCCTACTGCTCCATCCCGGCTCCAGCACAGGGCTGCACCTGACTTTCCCTGCAGCCTTGTCCAGAGAAAGAGGGACCTCCGAGATGTGTCTACTGGGAGGCTGGTCTTGGGGGTGCTTTGTCTTGGTCCTAGCTCCAGTACTAGACCTTCATAGTTGCTGGGTGAGTGATTGACAGCTGCGTGAATTACCTTATGCACCACTCGTAACATCCCCACTGCAGAGAGGAAACCAAGGCTCAGAGCACTGTGCCATCAGGCTAGGATTCCAAGCCAAGCAGAGGTTGTTATGGAAAATGAAGTGAGACACTCAGCCATTGTGCTGTGCTGGGTGGGAGGGTGAGCTGATGCAGGACAGGATCGAGGGCACAGTGAGATGCACATGGCTGTGTGTTGACCTCCTGTGGCTGCCATAGCCTATTACCACACCCGGAGCAGCTGCTCTCTCACAGCTCTGAAAGGCCAGAAGTCCAGCCAAGGCTGGTCCTAGACTTGGGAATCATTCTCTACCTCCTCTGGCTCCTGATTGCTCCCAATGCTCCTTGGCTTGTGGCTGCCTCACTCTGGTCTCCACTTCCACCTTTACATGGATCTTGTGTCTGTGTCAGCGTCACCCTGAGGGATACTGCACAATTCAGGACAGCCTCATCTCAGGACCTTTAATGTAAAGATTGTCTTCCCAAATGATGTTAACACTCACAGGACTGGGCTGGGGCGTGGATATGTGGGTGGCCACCAGTTTGGGATCAGCTTGCAAGTCTCCAGCTTTACAAGGGTGGAAAAGCAACACCCATACACCATTCTGATTTCCACTTCGGTACGACATTCGATAAATTACAGGAACTAATTCAACGCTTTACCATAAAACAGGCTGTGTTAGGGGCTGGGCCCAACTGCAGGCTGATGTAAGTGTCTGAACACCATTCAGATGGCCTAGATCAAGCTGTAACATTTGAAAGGTGAGGTGTACAAAAGGCACTTTCAACCTACGTTCTTTTCACCTTGCCATGAGTTTGTCAGCGTGGAACCCCACTGTGAACCCAGGAGCACCTATATGTCTTGGGGCCACTCTTCAGCCCCCTGCTTGGTTCTCTGGCATTATAGGAGCCCCACTTAGACGTGGGAAGGCCAGACTCCTGGGCCAGGTACTGGAGGTTTTCTCTGCTGTTCCCCACTTTCCTGCAATCTGAGGGATACACGTGAACATCTCCCTAATCCCAAGGCCAACCTTGCCAAACTCTGTCCACAGGTTTGCCGGGTACTACTCCAGACCTGGAAAAAAGAAAGCAGATTTTCGGGCAAAACTTTATACCTCCAAAGAAGCCAAAAACCTTCCTGCAGCTTGTGTGGGAAGCACTGCAGGACGTGACGCTCATCATCCTGGAAATCGCGGCCATCATCTCTCTAGGACTGTCCTTCTACCACCCGCCTGGGGAGAACAATGAAGGTAAGACCGTACCCACACTGGAGGGTGCTTGGGCTCAGAGCCACTGCTGCTTAGGGGAGGAGTCCAAGGCACAGAAGCAGGGCCTTGCCAGTAGCTAGGGTGGAGCCAGGGTCAGCCCTCAGCCACAAGGGGCAGACCAGCAACAATGGAGATCACAGTGACGCTTACCGGGCACTGAGGTATGCCTGGCTCTGGGTGGAAATGTCTTCCTATCCACAAGAGAGGGGCCATGCTTTCTGCATTTTATTTTGTTTGTTTTTCCATTAAGTTTATTGGTACATTTTAGATATAAAATACATTTACATTCATCATTGGGATCTTGTACCTTTACATGAGTTCTTATTTTTTCCCCATTTCCCTGCCCTCCCTTCACCCCCTTCACCCTTCCCTATTTGCAAAGACTTTGTTTCCATTTTTTTCCTTTTCTCATATTTTTTTCTTTTCCCTTCTTTCCTTTCCCCT